CAGGCAAGTTCGCATATAGACTGCAGTAGCGCTAATTCAGCCAAGCAGCTGCAGCTGGACTTCCGAACCATGCCAAACCCGTTCGTTCACCCCAAAAGCAAAGTTTATTTGCACCACGACCCCATGTGACTTGACGAGAGATGGGGAGTGGCGCTATTCACTGCACCAAATACCCATAACAACCACCACAGTATATGCACAAACAAGTTTGTATGCCTGAATCCGTGCAACAAGTGTATATACCTGAATCCGTGCGAGGAGTCGCATTCAAGAAGCCATTGCTGGACTTCGGGAACATTCCAAAGCCACCTGATTTGCCCGACAGAGAGGTCTCTGTAGCTCCACGGTCCCAAGTGACTTGTCGGGGGGTGGGGTCTGGGGCTACTGACGGGAAGTCTGGTAGAGGCTGGTAACCATGGAGACGCTTACCCAACACCTGCGAGAGTGTGCCCAGTTGGAACTCGTCTCTGGTCGCTACGAAGTGGAGTGCGTATTGTGCGAGAGATTGAGATGTTGTGCAGAAGGCTCCACAAACAGACCGAAACGGAAGGCATTGTATCGTTAGACAGTGAGTGCACCCGATAGAACGGAATGGGCCGTGAGATAGTTAGTTGCACAGTGAAAGTAGTGTCCAGAGCAGTTGATGAAGAGATTTGAAGAAAAAAACGACTAGTTAGCACCAGGCATTGGGCGTTTGTGCAAGAGATAGAAAAGCAAAACGTGTTTTAAAGTATGAGAAGACATTCAATTGGCACCGTTAGGCGTATTCAACGATACACCTCTCTCTTGTCCCACACAACGACAACCATTGCGCTTGTGCGGGATGTGACTACACTTTTCAAACATACTACAGAACTGCTATACAACCTTGAACGCCGACAAATAAGCAGTTGATATTAGAGGTGGCCTTACTATCAAATATTGCCTTACTATCAGAGGTGGCGTGCACATGTATCTCCGCGGCGCAGTGTAGACGTAAAACCATTGTGTTGCATTAAGGAGTTTGTGCTGACACTGACAGGTGAGACTCGCCTATTCGGGACATACGTTTTCCTGGTGGCGCAGGTGCAGGCTTTTTGCACAGCAGGACATCCGCGAGACGGCCGGGCTCTATCCCTTTGGTTTTCATTCCCAATATACCTCTGCGGAAGAATAGGATAGGGACAACAGATATGATGAAGTTAGGAGAAACATAAGACGTCGAATACACCGTCAGATATGATGAAATTAGAAGAAACATAACAGATCGCATTAAGGTAAGGCTCTGGTTCATTCAACGAACTTTAAAACGTAACACACAGCTGCCACTACATCAATGCAATCGAACACAGTACATGAGTACAGAGACTATATCAATCCCAATGAGTACAGAGACTATATCAATCCCAATGAGTACAGAGACTATATCAATCGTACCTTTGGGGTACGGGTAGAGACAAGCTAACGAACCATACAAAGGCAGTTCTAAAACCTTAAACCCCAAACAAAGGGCGGTTCTAAAGAACTAAACACTAAGCAAAGGCGGTTCTAAAACCCCTAAACCGCGGTTTTAAAGCCTTAAACACTATTCGAAAGCCCTAAACATTACGCGAAGGCGGTTCTAGAACTCTAAACTTTAAGCAAAGCCGGTCAGTCGCGGGGGTTGGTCAAGCGATATGTAGTATCGCACGTTGCAGAGGGTATGCATGCTAAATAGTTAACAGTGGCAAGGGCTGCAAATGGCGGCCAAACGAACACCAAACTCTGTCATGATACTTCGACTTCCATGCTTACACCCGTTTAAAGCCGATTTGCGATCTATTTGTGAACCGTAATATACGAAAAAAACTCTCAAACGCCACACAGCGACCACCACGCACTATTTCCTAATATAGTCGGTCGGTATACGCAAGTCACAACATCCATTCCAATGCAGAACAGTCAGCCCCTCAAAGCAGCCATGGACTACACAGAACAACGACAGAGTTCTCGAGATATTAAGTGGACAATTGAGACGTTCTGATATTGCAGCAATTCAACTATGGCCCACCTCAGAAATCGGCCCTTATCTCGCAAGTCGTAGTCGGCATCATAGTTGGTTAAGAGAAGCACGTAATTGAGATACCGTTCCGACCTCTTCGCCCTCACTAGATACAACTTACTGGCCAAGTTAAGTACCTGCCGAGTTTGAAGGATGCATTCACAATGTTATTCAAGAGGCATACATAAATTCTTTCATCGCGTGCACTTATGGGTACAAAATTACCTACGTCCATGTACAAGGGGGCTCCTCATAAAACTAAATAGACGTATGTAGAAATACAATTCTTACCAGATATAAACATGTGTATTCTTTTGACCTACATATTTAAAGACAACAAATACATATACATACATACATACATACGTTCATACGTACATAAGTTCATACGTACATACATACATACATACATGCATACTTACACAGGCACAAACACATACATACTTGCACAGACACAGACACAGACACACCCATATATAT